TCTGGCTGGAGTCAAACATTCTCATTTGCGTCAAAGCGGAATTATGGCACGGGGCTAACTGGATGTATGTGCGGTTGTTAAGAGTTCGCTTAAAAGCTCTGTGTTGTAGAGGGAAACGGCCACAGCTGCGGTGTGCGTTACTGAAATGGCCCTTATGGATTTATGGTTATGAGCAGTGTGATTAAACTTGGAGCCAGCGCTGCTTTCTGAAGGAGTGTCGCCAGCAGAGCTGTCGCCACTGGTCTTTAACATCTCTACCTCAGATCCAAAGCTCAAATGCTGGGAAAGAACTGCAAATGAAGTGGAAAATAAATGCATGTTTCCTTTAGAGTGTGTAAATTATAGCTGTAATTACGAGTATACTACAAACCCAGTTCCAAAATGTTGGGACCGCAGAAAAATGAAAAAAACAGACAGTAATGATTTGCAAATCCTTTTTGACCTATGGTCAGTTGAAAACAGTACAATGACACAGAATTTAATGTTTCAACTTATAAACCTAATTGTTTTTTTGTAATTTGACATCCTCGACATGTTCCATAAATGTTAGGACTTGTTTTCCGCTGTGTTACATCACCTTTCCTTTTAATATCATTCAGTAATCGTTTGGAAACTGTAAACACTGGTTGATGTGGTTGAGAAAGTAATTTTTTTTGCACTTCACATTCGACTATGCGATTGCAGGCAAGCCAGTCTAGCATGTGCACCCTCTTATTATGAAGCCATGCTGTTGTAATACATGCAGAATGTGTCTTGGCGTCGTCTTGCTAAAGCAAGCAGGGGTGTCCTTGAAAAACACGTTGTCAAGATGGAAGCATATGTTGGTCCGAAATGTGTATGTACCTCTCAGCATTGATGATGCCTTCATAGATTACCCAAGCCATTAGCACTAAAACAGCCCTGTAGCATGACATGACACCCATTATTTCCAAAAACAACCTGAAGGATGGACCACAGCATTTTTACCCTTTCCGTCAGTCCATCTCAGATGAGCTATAACCCAGAGAAATCAGTGGTATTTCTGGTTGTTGTTGATAAATGGCTTCCACTTTGCATAGTAGAGTCTTAAGTCGCATTTGTGGATGCAGCGATGTACTATAATAAGTCCATGTGGTTGTATTCATTACACAAGCATGTCTGTTTTTAATGCGGAGCTGTCTGAGAGATTGAAGATCACAGGCATTCAATATTGGTTTTTGTCCTTGCTCTTTATGCTCAGATTTCTCCAGATTCTCTGAATCTTTTAACAATGTTACAGACGATGTTATGTTATGGACTGTAAACGTTGTTCTTAAGCTGTAAGACTGTTCACAAAGTGGCGACTTGGCCTTTTATGAATGCTTCCTTTATACCCCATCATGATATCACCTGTTACCTGTTCACCTGTCTGCATGTGTAAAGATCCAAAACAGGTGTTGCAGGCAGTGTGCAAAATACCTCCTAGTTTTCAAGGGTCCCATGTTGGCTGTCTACTCCACCATTGGCTGGCTGCTTGGCAACAAAATGTTTGGTTTACAGTTCTGCTTGTGGAAATTCTCTTCTCTAATTTGGTAACGTGGTCTTCCACACATTAATGCATGTATGAATGTATTTGAGCATCTGTATTTCTCCTCTCCTTTTTTCACATGCAGCAATGCCTGTTTTTTTGCACATTGGTTGCAGGCATCAAATTTGGAATTAGTGTATATTTTCAAAAATAAATATAGCTGATAAAGGTGAAATATTAAGTATCTCTTCTTTGTGCTTTTTTCAATTAAAAACCTTTAAGTTTACAAATCACTGCTTTTTTATTGTAATTTTTTTTTAATTTGCATTTTACCTACTCTTGTAACTTTTTCTTGGATTTAGGTTTATACTGCCCTACACTTACAACACTGATGGCTGTGAATGTAACAGTAAATATCTTGTATTATATTACACATGGCATCCTCCAGTGCCCGTATTGATATATGAAATGGGTGGAATTTTTCGCTCCATTAGCCAGTGCACTTATCCTGCAAAATATTCCAGCTAATATCATTAGCCCAAAGGCAGGGTTTATTTTCTCCCCCCAAAGTCCTCATTTACATTAGGCTAATGCAGCATGCATGAGTTTGAGCAGTAGCGATTGTGCTAGCTCTGATAGTCTATGACACAGATCGGGCCAACTGGAGAACTTTTTGCTGGAACAACACAAGTCTCTGGTGTACATATGATTAGTGAAGACCACTGGGGCCAATTTGGTTTGGTTGGGGCCACTCAGTGGTCTCCTTTTCCCTTAATGCAACTGTACAGTGGTCCAAATTCAGCATTCTGATTTCCCTGTGCAATGTAATCTGTGCTGTTAGCCTCAATGTCTTGATTTTTTTCCTGTGTGACTTGAAGGTGAGAGTGCCTTCATGTTGGATTTCATAAGAATATTGGACTTTGCAACACATTGTATTGCAGAAGGGCCTTCCAACCAATCGTTGTTAGTGCTATAGATATTCTGACCAGTCACAGCTCTAGATGAGCGTTTCTGTGGGTGTCTTGAAGAATTGTGAGTTTACCAAGGTGTGCAAGGCCCATCACAACAGCAATATTTACAATAAAAAGGTGATCAAATATTAACAGCACATTTTTTTTAATGTGATTGATGTATTTTCCTTGTTGGACCCCTTGAATGTACCATAGTTCCACCCCAAAGGCCAGCTGCTTCCATGCTGCATGTTGCTATGACTTCTCAGTCGAATACAGTGTTTAAATGGCGACAAGTTCCATTAATGGCTGTCTTGGTAAAAGTTGTTTCCAGCTGCTGCCATGGCGGATTTGTTCAGGACTGAAGGATGTGGAGTAGGTAAACAATCACACCACTGATGCTTACACTAATATAGGGAATGTTAGCACTGGAAGATGCCAACAGACTACATGGAACAGAGCTTATAGGAAACCTATGGATAAATCAGTGAGCAGCAAACTAATCAAAGCAACAGCAAAGTGGAAAAGATCCTGTTCCTCTACAAACAAGACATAACGGTATGAGGCCAGCAGTTACAATCACATGCCTGACTTGGAGCCAGTGACTGTGTATATATAATCTACGTGATCTATACACATATATAACACATATATAATATGTGCAGCTATTGCTGCTCTCTCTGAACGTCTGTGATAAAAATTAGAATCTCTCTATATATAAAATCTTAGAACAAGTATCTCCAAAATAGTACTTTTACAGAAGAAGGCAAAAACACTCTTAACCTTCAATGTAAGTTAATGAAAAAAAGGGTTTATTTCAAGTGATTTAGAGCATTTCTATTGGTCCATTCATCAAGAAATTTTCACACAGAGGACAGCTGGTGTGTTGAAATGATGTAGAAAAATAATCAACAAAAATGGAGATACATGGTTTTCTTTGGACAGCGATGATATATATATGATAATAATAGTTTAAATTGTACACATCCTCTACAGAGTTCTGCACATTTAAATGCACAATTACTGTTTATTTGCTGAATTTAACATATTTGAAAGAAAACTAAAATAAAAAATGTAGTCTGTGCAGAGGTTTTATGGCACATTTTATGTTTTATGTTTTTTAAATGTTTAACTTTTATATTAATAAATACAGATATGAACAGAAAAATGTCATATTTAAGTTCCCTGTAGAGGGTGTGGAATGGAGGCAGGAATTTTTGCATGTGACTGTATAATTTCATGTGTACGACCTCAGGATGTTCATAGAGGAAATAGGATTTTGAATTTATCTTGAATAAATGTGTGATGTATTATAAAATAATGAATTTGGAATTGTTGATTTTGTGTGTGTGTGGGTGTGTATTCTGTGTAAGATTTCTGTTTGTATATCTTTGCTATTGTAAACATTTTCTCCCCTTGGTAACTTTAAGAGAAAGAGCAACTTTCTAAACTTTAAGGCACGTTTTATGCAACACAGCAGTGTATTTTTTGTGTTCAATTTGATATTCTTTGTGGGGTTTTTTTTTCAGCCAGTTCAGGATATTTTTTTTCTAGTTTACTCATCCTTAGCAAATTCAGTGTCTTCTATTCCAGCCATGTTTAAATTTTTGGATTAACTGTCTTGACTTTTTTTAAAAAATAGAAATACAGAACTGTTTGCAAAAATATATACACATGAATTTATTTATTATTTGTTCAAAAAACAAACATTGTAATAAATACAAATAAACAAATTAACAGTCCATTGTGGTGTGATGTGTATGACTGTATTAGCTTCCAAAGCTCACCTTAAGGAGGTCCAGTATTTTCAGTTATCATCCAGGACCTTGTTTATCAAATCAGTCCTTCATTAGATCGTTGTCTGTCTGTTTTTGCTGTGTTTTACTTTTTAATATATCAAGGAAATACCAGCTGCTATTGATACAACTTCAAAATTTTATTGGACCAATAGAAATAGTCCAGAATGACTAGGACTTACACTGAAAGTTAGTAAAGTCTTGTAAAGTTATTTTTGTGGGTTTTGATCCGACAGTGATGATATATTTATTTGTACTCATCCTAATGTCATGTAGTATTTTTACTACATTTTTACTGGTAAAGACACACTTCGCTGCTGTTGGAAGAAAACCTCCACCTTTTCTTTTTGTCTCCAATTTTGTTTTGTTTTTTTTTGACATCATTTGAAAATGCATGTTTGCCCTTTATATTGTGTGTAAATTTCATGACGAATGAACCAGAAGAAACGGCCCAAAATGACTTGGTAAAAAGTCTGGTTCCATTGACTTACATTAAAAGTAAAGTACGTTTTTCCTTCTTCTGTAAAGTCACCATTTTGGAGATACGAGGTTTTGTTCCAACAACAGCGACTTGCTTCCAAAATAGTTTTAATCAGTTTTTGTGGGCCGAGCGTTTCTTGGCTGCAGTGCTGTGTATCAGGTGTGTACTTTGTGACAGTCTCATCAGTTTTGTGTGTTTGTCCTTTCTGTATTTCAATGACTGGTGACCTTTTTAGCTTCTCGCTTTGTGATGCACACGTTAACTCTACTTCTCTCTGTTTTTTCTAGCTCTGTCCACAGATGATGGGCCCCCCCTTCCTTGCATGAAGCTGAAAGTCACTGTGTGCTGCGAGCCCAGTAAGTACTCCTCTCCTTTTTTCATCCCTTCATTTGTCCTGCACTTTTTTTCTTTGCAGCAGGGGAAAAAAAACAGGTCCCTCCCCTTGCACCCTCTCACGCACTCAGACGACCCGCTTTCTCTGCACGCGATCCCCTCGCTTATTCTTTACCTCGCTCTGTCGCACTCTCTCTCTCACCCTCTCTCTATACCACTCCCTTTTTTACTCTCTCTCTCTCTTTCTCTCTCTCTCACCCTCTCTCTATATCTCTCTCTCTGTTTTTTGTAGTATATTTTTAGCTGCATCTCATCTGTAATAAAGATAAAGATTTAAAAAAGTAGAATATAAATGTATTATGGAACATAAAAAGCTTAAAAATATTTCACCTAAATATTGTCTTAAACTGACTACAGTAGCATATTGTTTCATGTATTTGAATAATTATGTATTTATGTTTTATTTAAATAAAAGTACATCAGGATTTAATTAAAAGTATAAAATCTCTCTTTAATTAAAATGATATAAAGTGTGTGTGTGTGTGTGTGTGTGTATGTATGTGTGTATATATATTTATATATATATATATATATATATATATATATATATATATATATATATATATATATATATATATATATACATGTGTGTGTTCATCTACCTTTAATGTTTATTATGTAATAATTACTTCCTTTTGTAGCAATTATTCTTGATCTACTTGTAATTGTTTTATGTAATGTCACTCATATTTGGTAATTATTTACTGTTTAAAATGACATTTTATTTTTTTAAATAATATGCATAAGTAATATTTAAAAAATATGGAAATAAAAAATAGATTTAAATTAATTTCCCCATTCTTGTCTGTGCAATTATAATAAGAAAATTATCATTTGAATGTTTTTTCTTTTAATAATAGGTATTACAACAATATCTTTGCCAGATTTAATGTTAATATACATTTAAGTAATTATATATGCATACATTTGTATATTTAAAAAAAACAAAAATCTAGCTTTTGGATGTTGATTTTTGGTTGTTGATGATTACAGTTTAATCAGGAATTCCTGCTTTTGAAGGATTTCTACATTATTAAATCATTCAGCTGTCCGGTTTGATGTGAAATACTTCATTATAGAGAAACGTCTGAAACCAGGCGTCTGAAGTACTTAATGTCTCTTAATGTTACATCACAGATAGTTATAAAAGATATGCTGCCTGCTGTCTTTGGTGAATAGTTTTGGCAAACTTTTGGACTAAAACAAGTATTTTGAATCCATTCACAGCATAGAGGTGCATGCATGGTATAAGAAAACTTATTTTTTCAGGCTTCTCATTATTTTACCATCATCATCATCAAATATAAAACAAACATACGTGTAAATTCACTGGTAGTTTTGAATTGTAGGCATTGTGACCCCTGGTTCCATTCACCAACACTGTAAAGACAGCAGAGTCAATGTATCTACAAAAAACACTCTGAATCTTCACTCTGAATCGGTTGATTTATGCAGAAATATTGACAAATGTGTGTAATTTCCTTTTAAGTAAACTTATTTGGACTTGCTAATGTGGGTTTTGACACTATGACATACTGTTTGGCATAAAGTACAGAAAGCATTCCGTCTTCATGATTGCTGCCGTTGTGTTTGGCAATGAGATGTGCTTTTGTCCATTTTTCATAGGTCATACTAAGTCGAAGTGTCAAAAGAAAACAAAAGCAAGTCTATTTGAGAAAAACTTCAGACACCAAACGCATCTCATTTGTTCTGAGAAGTTTGAAAAGACATGTTATAGATGCAGTTTCTTAAAATCTGAAAAATGATTGACACTACCAAAATAACTTCTGCCTGTAGTGTCTCGTCTTAACACTTTTTTTTTCATTTGTCATTATTTACGTGTAAAATTAGCAATAAAACTGTGTGTGTGTGTGTGTGAGTGAGTGTGTGTGGCGTGGTTAGTGTCTCCTGGCTCACGGCCCCCTGCAGTAATGTTATTCTTCCGCCTGACTGAGCTGACGAGAGAGCAGTGGGGAATGCCGTCCGCTTAGAGTGGGAATGGCAGTCCAGTCCGTGAACCGTCCGCCCTAATTCCACCTCTCACTTCTCACACATACACACACACACAGATGTGCGATGGCCTGTCCAGTCCAATTCACCATCTCACGTTCTGCTCCAGCCCCAAATCAGCCTCTTGACTCTCCTCCACTATTAAACGGCACCCTCAGTAATAATTCAGTCCGTCTATTAATTTAGTGAAATTTTTATATGCATCTGAGAGGATGAGTTGCACACAAAACCTCAGACAAGTCGTATTCTGTACGTTTTTATAGCCGTTTCCTGATATCTGCAATTAATTTCTATGAATTTATGCCAGTTTTCAAGGTGAATTACAGCACTTGTTACGCACAGAGGTTGATAATTGTTTCCATCGGATATGGAAATTGTCAGCGATATTGGTTTGAAAGAACTGTCACTAAATCAAATTGACACAATTTCCCCCGCTTGTCCCAAATGTAAGAGATCAAACAGGGCATATTTGGTGAAAGTGTTTTTATTTATTTATTTATTTTAAATATAGGCTAATGTACTAATTAATAAAGGTTAACATAATAGAACATCTTTTTAGGTGACAGATTTCCATTACTTATTAGATACATTTGCCTTGTAGCTCCAGTGCAAAACTAAAGAAGCAAATTTCAGGCACCAGCCATTGTCTTAACTGATCAAATACACGATATGGACAAAACTATGTGGACACACTTCCTAATTATTGAGTTGTATAAAATCAAGTAATCTACATAGACAAATGTCAGCAGTAGAATGGGTCACATTGAAGAGCTGGACTTTTAGATCTGGAACTGTCATAGGATGCCACCTTTACCCAGTCAATTTGTGAAATTTCTGCCCTGCAAGGTCTACCCTGGTCAGCTCTAAGTACAACCCTGTTTCCAAAAAAAGTTGGGATGCTGTGCAACATGTAAATAATAACAGAATGCAATGATGTGCAAATCATTTAAACCCTATATTTAATTGAAAATAATTCAAAGACAACATATCAAATGTTGAAACAGAAATTCTATTGATTTTTTTTTAAATATATGCACATTTTTGATGCCAACAAGTTTCAAAAAGTCATGGAGCAACAGAAGACTGGTAAAGTTGTGTAATGCTATAAAAACACCTGGTGGAAAATCTCTCAACTAATTAGGTTAACTAGCAACAGGTCAGTAACATGACTGAGTATAAAAAGAGCATCCCAGAGAAGCTGAGTCGTTCAGAAGTAAAGATGGGGAGGGGTTCACCACTCTGTGAAACACTGTGGTGGCATATAGTGCAGCAATTCAAGAATAATATAAAATAGCAAAGAAATTGGGAGATTTCATCATCTACAGTACATAATATCATTAAAAGGTTCAGAGAATCTGGAGAAATCTCTATGTAAGGGACAAGGCTGAAAACCAGCACTGGCTGGCCATGATGTTCAGGCCCTCAGGTGGCACTGCATTAAAAACAGACCTGATTCTGTAGTGAAAATGTGCATCAGAGCCCTGACCTCAACCCCACTGAACACCTTTGGGATGAATTGGAACTTCAATTGCGAGCCAGACCTTCCCATCCAACATTAAAGTCTAATATCACAAATGCTCTTTTGACTGAATGGGCACAAATTCCCACAGACACACTCGAAAATCTTGTGGAAAGTCTTCCCAGAAGAGTGGAGGCTAATATAGGCTGTTATAGGACAAATCCATATTAATGCCTCTGGCTTTGGAATGGAACGTCCAACAATCTCATGTAGGTGTGATGGTCAGGTGTCTACATACTTTGACACCTTCATTATGGCTTCCATTCTTTTCAGGCCTCTTTTAGTTTTTCAAAGAAATCTGCAGAGATGTTTTTCCACACCTCCAAAGTTTAGTCTAAGTTGGTAGCTTTTTCTATTTCTCATGATCCTAGTACTCCCAAACACATTTAGTGATGTTGAAGTCTGGACTCTGGGGCGGTCAATCCATTGTTCTGAGAACACCAGTAGCCTCTTTGGTTGAGCTGTAAATGTTATCATTTCCCTTTCACAGTAAGGGCTTCTTGACAGCTACTCATCCTTTTAGACTCATAGTGCTGAGTCGTCTTCTCACAGTGGAAGGACTGACAAACATTATTAGTCTTTTTCCAGATCTGAAGCAAGAGTGGAGCTTGATTTTCTCTTCTAAGTGCTGTTTATCTGATGGGGACAGTTTGGGGGACTACTAGATCTTGCAGGTGGCTGTATGGAATCCCGTTTTCTCTGGATCTTTCAATCCTTTTTTGAACGCTGTTTCTTTCTTCTTCCTTTTGGAAGTGGATTATCTTATATCTACTGCCCTCTTAATCGAAAAATGAATAGCTTTAATTAAAAGTAATTAATGACTGTTTTGACTGAAAATGAAATGAAGGGTGGTCTCTAAGTTTTCATATGGGGCCTTTAATATCAGCCGTTTTTATTTGCCAACTGATAACGATTGGGTTTTAATTAATATGTCAGTTATGTGCAGAAATCCTGTTAAGGCATGGCTTTAAGTTGGTGTTTCTGATGAATATAAGGCTTTAGGAAGGAAGTTTGTGTAATGGCATGTAAATAGCTTGCCTTTGCAGACAGGCAGGGTTTTTTAGATTCTGAAGAGGTGGATATGTAGCTCATTTATTGCTTTCTCAGGCCAGGACGGTATCAGAGCACCTAGGTTTGATAAAGCCTGTGTTTGGGGTGTTATTTTGGAGGTTCTTTATTCATTTTGATTGGTGGTTAGTTTGTGTTACCCGAAAGTGGATGCTCAAACATAGTAAATGTACCCTTCTTCTCTTTGTCCATTTCCCTCTCTTTTCCCAGGCACTTCCTTCAGACGGTCTCTTTTAACTCTCTCTCTCTCTCTCTCTCTCTCTCTCCTTCTGCCTCTTACACTCTTTCTGTTCTCTGACCGAAACTAATCCAGACTAAACTGTAGCATCTCCTTGTCTCCCTCCCTCCTCTTCTTCCTCCTCCTCC